GTGGTATTTCCAGCTTCCACATACTTGCCTAGCCCACCTCCGGTTGAACACTTCGGTTAATACTTTTATAACAACTTCGGACAGAATACATTCCATTCGTATCATCTGCCCAAATTAATTCATCTTCCATCTGTCCCGAACGTAAAGGAATACTAGCAATGAGGTTTCAGTCTTCCTTTTGAAAAAGATCATCCTGTAAATCAAAATTCCAGCCCGTTCCATCTTTAAGCATGAGAGATTTCACATTAATATTTTCCAGCCCCGCTATTTCATTCCTTGCTTGTCTGCATCCTTCTACATCATGGGGCCAATTATCATGCCACGCTCTTGCCGAATTCCCATTACCGATATGGTAACAAACCCCTTTTCTGACTGCCGGAATAGCCGCAATGATGCTACGCCAAATAAGTGACGAATTATGGCCACGTCTAGCTTCCAAAATATCTCCATGAGGAAAATATTTAGCCTTTAAAAGCTTAGTCACCAGAGAGTTTGGGTTTTTTTAAGATACACCAAACCTGTTTGCGTAACATCGCAATACTAAACTCACGAAGTTTTCTAAAGCCCAAACCCCCTTGAGATTTCGGGCTACAAAGGTCACCCCAAGTTTTCCACCTAATGCCTTTTCCATTAAAAGCATGTCCTCTCCACCAGAATGCATTCATAATTTTCTCAATATCATTACATAAATCCCCAGGTAGTAAAAAAACATTAATAGCATATTGGGGCATAGCTCGGACAACCGTTTTAATTAACACCTCTCTTCCGGCTTTAGATAAGAATCTGCTATTCCAGCTCTGGATCCTCTGGACCACTTTTTCTTTGATATAACCAAAATTTTCTTTTTTATTTCTCCCAACCATAGAAGGAAGTCCCAAGTACTTACCCCCTCCCCTGTCTTCCTCAACTCCAAAAATACTACTCAAATAATCTATGTCATCCCACGCCACATTTGCACTAAAGCGCACACTAGATTTATCAAAATTAATTACCTGGCCCGAGACTAAGCCGTACTGAGCAAGGATCTCTTTTATAACAAAACAATCCCTCTCATTTGGCCCTGCAAAAAAAAAAAAAAACTGTCATCGGCGAATAGTAAATGAGATATTGCGGGGACCCCTCGAGCCACTGTGATTCCTTGAAGAACACCCTCATGCTCCTTCGCTAGTAGCATAGCACTAATACCTTCTGTCACCAAAATAAACAGATACGGTGACAGCGGATCCCCCTGCCTTAATCCTCGAGTCGGTATAACCGGACCATAACATTCCCCATTTATCTAGACATGATACCTTATCGTCTCCACACACTGCATTATAATATTTACCCACCGAGGATTAAAGCCCAACTTCTCCATTACATGCTTCAGAAAGCCCCACTCGACCCTGTCGTATGCCTTACTCATATCGAGTTTAAGGGCCACATAGCCCTCCTTGCCCTGTGTCTTTTGCTTCAGAAATGTTGTATTTCAAAAGCAACAATAATATTATCAATGATAGATCTACCAGGGATAAAGGCGCTTTGATTTTCAGAAATAATACCATTTAATAGGCCTTTGAGCCAATTAGCTAGTATCTTGGCAAAAATCTTATACGCGACGTTACACAGCGCAATCGGCCTCCAATCCCCCATAGCAACCGGGTTTTCCTTCTTTGGTATCCATACAATAGTAGTGTCATTATATTCCTCCGGTACCCTCCCTGAACTAAATGATCTTATGCAAAAATCCACCACCGTTGGCCCTACTACATCCCAAAACGCCTGGAAAAATCTCGGGTTCAATCCATTAGGTCCTAGAGCCTTATCTGCATGCATACTAAAAGCTGCAGCCCTAACTTCTTTCTCCGTTATATCTCGTAGCAAAGCGGCATTCTGGATATCAGTGATCGTCCCACGAACATTATTGAACCCCAAAGGATTATGGTTCCGTCCTGCGGTGAAAAGCTCCTCGAAACAACTAATGACTATTTTGCTTAGCTCCCATTGATTAGTCACCCATCTGCTCGTCTCAGAAAATATTCCTCTCATTAAATTTTTCCGCCTCCTCTGTTTGACTGAATTATGAAAGTATTTAGTATTTACGTCTCTCTGCTGTAACCAAATCTCAGTTCTTAATTTAGCCCGTTGTTTCCAAAAAGCATTCTGTTTCTCCAAAAGCTTCAAATAACATGCTTTTGCTCTAGCAAATTCGGCTAGTCCTGCTGCATCCACTCGGCCTCTGCATCGTTCCATCTGCCTTTTGCAACCCTCAATACGACGCTGAAAGCCCCGCCGAAGGTGTTTACCCCATTGACATAGCTCAGCTCCACAAAACTGCAACCTTTCGAGGAGGATCTAATCCTCACACGAGCCCCATGGTTTTCAAACTTGAATTTAGTCCGTTTATATCTTCCTGCTATCTGGCTAAATTTTTTAAAAAAAAAGAGCGAGGTGATCGCTGTTACTGCCCATAATAGATGTAGCCCACGCCTCCCCAAACATATTAAGCCAACCTCGTTTACCAGAATACGGTCCAGCTTTTCTTCTACCCAATTATTTGTGTCTCGACCTCTCTCCCATGTGAACTGATATCCGTGAAACGGGAAGTTTATCAAGCCACTTCCCCAAACATCATTTCGAAACCCCGTAATCATCCACGATGGTTGAGTACATCTTCCTCTCTTCTCATGCGCATGCAAAATATCATTACAGTCTCCGAAAATCACCCAAGGAACATTAGTCATTGTGGCCAAATGTTGAAGTAAAGCCCATGAATCTCTCTGGTGTTGACGATCCGGGAATCCATAGAAACCTGTTAAACGCCATGGTAAGGGTTGTGTTTCGGTCGTAATAATAGCATCGATAAAGTTGCGAGAGGAACCCTGGATATCCACTGTCATCTCGTTATTCCAGAATAGAGCAAGCCCTCCGCTCCTCCCATCACATGCTACACAAAACCACTGGTCAAACCCTAACAACTTGCACACATGGTTAATACGATCACCACCGCAAAGAGTTTCCATAAGGAAGATTAGCGACGAATGGTACGTCGATTTGATGTCTTGGAGTACTTGAACTATGGCCAAGTTTCCCAAACCTCGACAATTCCAACTAACACAACCCATTCCAAATTAAAAGCCAAACAAAAATTTCTCTCGACCAGACCAAGAAACCGGCGAGGACAAAGGTTCTTCCCCACACACGAGGGAGACTGCAAATCTCCGAAAAAACACCGGGAACCAAAGCTAAAAGGGTGAAATAGACTTCTCAAACTTACAAACTCAACATCCGCTGCCATGATGTTCGTCGGTTAGCCACTGCCGACGTAGGGTTTGTTCCGCCATCATCCTCTACGATGTGTCACCAGAAAGCCGCTTTGACCAAGAGTTCAATTCTGGTATTCCAGGTTCCCCGATAACATATGCGCAGAATCAGTGGTGGAGCCAAAAAATTATTATTTCCACAACTTATGTTTATTATGCATTTGCGGCATGCCAGCATAGTAATATGTTTTATTATACTTATTATTTCCACAACTTATGTTTATTATTCCCTCCAAAAATTTGTTGGGCCACGGGGTATGCGGTGCTAGCAGTCTTCCAGTCTGCGAGTCTGCCAGTCTGCCGGTGCAATTGAAACGCTCCGCTTTGTCCGTCCTATAAGGGGAGGAAAGGATATGCTACACTATCAGCAATTGCTTTTGATGCAGTGGCAAACGTAATGATCCACATAATGAATTCATCCGCCCCTTGAGTCAATTAGACCTGATCAATGGCACGGTGACCGGGCTATGGGTTGAATCGCTCGGCCCGATTCTTACAATATAGGTTAATGTGCGAAACTAAAATACATTTTTATCATTTTAAATTATAATATAACTTCAGTATTTGTGTCACTATTTTTCCATTACTAGTATAATTTGAGCGTCGTTTCTTTTCTCATGTTTGATAAGTTATTCATTTAGAAATACTCAAAAACCGTTACTTTAATTTAGTGTTTTTTTATTTTTCTATCTTCTTTTTTTGTATGTTTTCATCTTTCTTTGATACATTTCACTTTTTTTACAATTTTCACTATCTCTAATATTTCAATATTAAGCTTTGTGCAAAAGTCTAACATTTCAAGTTTTAAACACAGGAGTACTATTTATAATTAATAATTGAAATGAATATATATACGTAGTATATATATTCCTAAAATAAAGATGATTGATAAAAATGTGCCCCCTTACATACAATGACTATATTTGTAATTTTTAGTTTTTTAAAAAAGGATTTGTAATTTTTAGTTAGTATGATGATGTTCAATTTTAAACTATATATTGACCATAATGTTACAGTCATAGTAACTTTAATTACATATTTATCTAAGAATTTAAGTTTAATAGTATTCTAGAAAAATATCTTGACAATTTTATTTCTTGGTAAAAAAGTAACACGGAGTATATAACTTAGTATGATGGAATCATATGACTAATATATCCATTTTCATTAAGGATGTTTGTTGCGCATGTAATGGAAGGGCTGCGCTGGATGTCTAAATTTGGTTGTCAATCCCAATTTTGTGACTATGCATAAAAAAAATAGTACGATCGGGCCTGGACCCAGGCCCGGACGGGTCAGGCCCAAAAAAAAAACCAAAATCAGCCCTTAATAGCCACTGGGTCGGGTCCCAGGCCAGGACCGGGTCAGGCCTGCACAATGCCGGGCCAGGCCGTCCCAGTCCATCCCTACATGTTACTACATCCATTCTTATACTATCTTACATTCTTACCCACTGTCCTAAGTTTCCTTATAAAACAGAAGTGGTGATTCACGTAATTTCTCCCTTTTCTGGTTTAACTTGAAGTCTTCAACCTCACAATGTTCACTTAACTTTTTTAGTCAATATGCTCAGTCAAATTGTTGTTTAATTTAGGGGCGGAGGAAATAATTTTTAGTTTTTACTAACAGCTAGCCAAGTAGCCAACCAGCTATCATCAATTATTAACGACATTATGAACAAGTAACCGGCCATGGTACCTACAGTGGATATTCTTTCCTATTAAAATTAACCTTTTTGTCTCATGGGCAGTTAATTTGCAGCACTTTCTGAATTGTACAAATTAATACTATCGTCAAATTAATGTACCAAATTAAATGGTAGAAACTTGAGTCAAGCATCATAAATCAAAATAAGAAAATGGGATGAACTGAATATTGATACATTTCTGAATCTGGCTAGCACTTATTTGAGTATGTTCAGAACAGTTACATGGTTCAAGATTTAGCTGACATGCTGCAGCAAGCATGAGGTAAAACATATGATGGATAATTTACTGTGAGAGATTTACTGTGAGAGAGCACTGGTGTTGTACACAAGGAGAGCACCTCCTGCCAGGATGCCAACAAAGGTAACAGCCCATATTGCTAAGCCAGTTTTACCTGCATATTAGTGTTTCACTTTCAAAAGTTTGTATTTTTTATCTTTCTTTACAACTTGAGGGAACCACTATGTAACCCTGAGTGATGAAGTTTGTGGTTTTGGTTATGAAAAACAAAAAACAAACTAAAACAGTTAACCATAGATTTAAGGGCGCATCGATTCAAGAAACCCTTGTAGCATCTACAACTAGTACTTTACTTTGATAACCTTCATGTTTTTTCATCTACAATATACCCAAATCATTTTCTTATATGCCTCTGCCTTGTAGCATACTCCGTATTTATTACTCAAATCAAATTGTGCAGCTGAAACTAATTAAGTAATAAATGAGAAAACAAAAATCAATCGCACAATTCTTTTCTTCAAATGAAATAGAAAGATAATTTTGAAACTTTAGAAAAAGAATTTGGAAGCTCATTTGAGAATGAAGGGAGTAGTAAACATGCAACAAACAGAAAAGAAAGAAGAAGAAAATTGCCAGAAAAGCTAAGAATGATTTCTATAGAAAATGTGTGATGAATGCAAAATAAATAATATACACGGGTAATAAGTACCAAAACCAAAACAAAAACATAAAAGATGAATGACAGAGGGTGACATACATAGAAAAAAAGAATTCTACTATGAAGGAATACAAATAAAGCAGAATGTCCCTTCGGGGACATCCGACAAAATTGGAACGATGCAGACAAATAAAGGAGAATGATACCTGAAATCCTAAAATATTCCTATTTTCTTTTATAACAACCACGGAAACTAAAGTGGATCCGACTCATGTAAGAATGGCTAAAGTCGCTATTATGATATAAAGAAATGAAGGTATAAGAGCAATAAAATCAAACTTTCTGTTGAAGCATTTGTCCGAATTGTCCCACACCGGAAAGCTATAAAACAATTAAACACTATATAAGGCTTTGAGCTACTCCTCAGGGTTGACCTTTTAGGATGGAACCTCGTGTCTTATCAAATTTCAAATTGAGGTAGTATTTCAACTTAACCCAAGAGTCCAATGGGAAAGCTCCCATTAAGAGTGGCATGCAATGTCTATATTGCTCAACCCATGAACAAAGCAAAGTAATCCCATATCACAATGAGTCAATGAAGACATTACTCTAACCAAAAGACCCCTAATAGTTTTGCTAATAGAAGGTATACTAACAATTTCATTCCTTCAAAAAGTATTTCATTTCAAATTTCGAAGATTTATACATTGTTTTGTATTAAAATACTCCGTATAATACTGTTATGTGAAATTTGTCTGTGTCATTAGAATATGTTCACTGAAGTTTTAGAAAAAAGTCTTTCAGATTGTTAAACATGTTGTAAAGACAATTCAACTCTTGTGGGTTGTCAAATAGGTTTTAAAGGCAATTTACTAATACATTATCACGACAGTTTGTGGAGAAGAGAATGAGTTGCCTTAGGTTGATAGTGTGTCTAGAAACAACATCACATGATTTGATTGATGATAATAATAAATAGAGGAAATTGTAATAGCTATTGTCAAGTTATATCATAATAAACAGCATAATACAGACTTGCAGAGTAATCACAAAAGCTAAAAAAGTTCCACTTTCTTAGTCCTCATGTCAATTTATATCAAAACAAAATGTACAAAATTACATGAAGTATCAGAAAATGTGCTTAATTGGCCCTGTAGAATGGATAGAAGTATAGTGTGTCTTATACAAAATGACATTCTCATATCCATTCCTAGACATAACAATTTGTTTATGTTTTTAAATAAGATTACAGGTATTAGTTAAAATTACAAGACATAAGCCTCAAATTGTTAAGTTCGTTTAATTAAAAGGCTAAAGGGTCAAATAGGCCCTCGAACTAACTTAAAAAGTGCAAATCACCCCTTATATAGGAGGTTCTGTCCGGCCGTCGCCATTTGGGGCGGTTCCCGGTGGAGTTTTTTAGTAAAATTTTTTGAGCATCTTCTTCATTAAGTCTAGTTTACCCATACCAAATTTCAGATAAAAAGTCAACCGGGAAGATAGTCAAATGAATTTCTGAAATGTACTGCGTTGTTTAACTGCGTAGTTATCTTCAAAAATTCATTTGACTGCCTTCCCGATTGAATTTTTAGTTGAAACTTGGTATGGGTAAACTAGACTTAAAGAAGAAGATGCTAAAAAAGTTTCATCAAAAAATTACACTGGGAACCACCCCAAATGGCGACGGCCGGACAGAATCTTCTGTATAAGGGGTGATTTGCACTTTTTAAGTTAGTTCGAAGGCCTATTTGACAATTTAGCCTAAATAAAAATTACATTTGTTGAGTGGGAAAAATATATTTGAAAAACAAGATTATGCAAATTTGACATATATTATACGCCTTTATTTAATGTATTTAGGATGTTTTCTTTTGGACTGTTTTCAGTCCCAGACCAGACCTGTCAGACAAGACAAAACCAGACTTCCAACGTTTACCAGACCAGATCAGCAAATTTCAGTCCAAAAGCAAACATCCTTAATGTTATTATCTTAATCCCATTAAATATAGTTTATATTGCACTAGAAAATTGAAATCTGAACTACGCATAATTAATTACGACAACATTCAAGCCTTAGTCCCAAAAGAGTTTGCGCTCGGCAAACATGAATTGACACATGAAATCGGAGCTAAAAAGATAGGAAAGAAAGAAATATAACGTAAGATAAAAAGATAAGATAATGATAAATATAAGATAAAAAAGATAACTACGTATGATTAATTAAACAAAGATAAAATACAAATATATCCTTATTCAATATTTCTATTTATGTTTCATTAAATAGTTTTATAAGGTATCAGATTGTTGAAGGGTGAGTTTATTTTTCTCGTCAAGGCCTACCTAGGACAGCTAGGACTCTGATAGCGAAGATTAGATTGTTTGATAATAAAAGCAAACTATATCTTACCTCCAACATAGACATCACCAGTGGGGGACCAATCTTCTTCCTTGTAAATTGGACTGCATAGTTTCAGTAGCATGTTAATATAGGCATATGATGTTGATAGTAATGTTAAAGTAATAATAAACGGGAAATTTTTATTTATATCATGGCTCAAAAGTTAAAAGTCATCCAGTAGAGTAAATTCCTTTCATCCCCTCCTGAATATGCTGATATAAGATATAAGATACTGTAATCGAACAAGAAAAAAACTTATCAATTATCCTCTGAACTCACTAGCTAAACTGTAAACCCTCAAACAGCTACAAATAGAGTGCATATGATTAATTGTGTTCAAATTTTGAACTATTGAGTAAACCTAAATGTTAGATTAGCTTTTAACCAAATTCATTACTACTGTTTCAATGAATAAATTGTTTCAACTGATTATTATATTGATTTTTAGCTCCAGAGTTTAAACAATGCTCATTTACTAACATATGTAGATTGTAGATACAGACATACTATTTAGACCATCCGCAGGGAGTCCATAAATGCAAATATTCACTCTACTAATACAAAAATAATGCATACACTCCCTCAATCCAACTTTTTCCTATAACCCACTTAGAGTGAATATACTCACCCATCAATAGTTTTCACTACAAATTAATAAAACATTAAATATATGTTTGTAACTTCTAAGAAATTTATTTTCCCAGATTTTTCTACAAAAGTTTTTCTTGAAATACTACTCCAATTAATGTAAAAAAGATAAATTTGGTGTACAATGATATAGAGGCCAGCACGTGTGTCCTCTCTCCTCAAGAGAAGCCCATGCCCACCTCCAAAGCATGTGGAGCACACGCATAATGAAGAGAAAGCATCCAGCAGTGCAGCTGATGCGCAGGTCCAATCTTCTGTCCTCTCTCCCCTCTCTGTCGGGCTCGCAGCCATTTCGTTGGGCCAGATGTGGTGAATATGGGGTGGATTTTTCTACCCCAAAAATGAATACATCCACTCTAAACCCGTACTATACATGGTTTGCAAGGTAAAATGTTAAATGTCCCACACCGGAAACGTTTGGATGAACAAAGTGCTATATTAACACACAGGCTACTCCTCCTATCAGGTTGACCTTTTAGATGGAACCCCGTGTCTTAACATGGTATCAGAGCCAATTCGATCCATGGTGTGGGGCCCCTTATGAAAATGATTATAAAAAAAGACAATTACGGTCGCATGAAAAAAAACGGACCGATGAAAAAAATGAATGATGGCACAATCCAGACGAAGTGTCTGGTCGTGAGGAGGAGTGTTAAATGTCCCACACCGGAAAAGTTTGGATGAACTAAATGCTATATTAACACATGAGGAACTCCTCCTATCAGGTTGACCTTTTCGGATGGAACCCCGTGTTTTAACATAGTATCAGAGCCAAATCGATCCATGGTGTGGGGCCCCTTATGAAAAATGATGACACGATTATAAAAAACGGCTGGATGAAAAAAAACGGACTGATGAAAAAAAATGAATGATTGCACGATCTACTGAGGAGGGGTGTTAAATGTCCCACACTGAAAACGTTTGGATGAACAAAGTGTTATATTAACACACGGAGTACTCCTCCTATCAGGTTGATCTTTTAGGATGGAACCCCGTGTCTTAAAATAAAAGGACTTAAATTTGGGTCTATTCAATTTTTCACCCCATGGTTGCAAATTGCAATCAGCCTTACTACTAATGGTGATGGTATCATGGTATTATAAGACAACAAGTCCATTGTATGAAACCTAAAAGAATACAATAGTAGAATACTTAGGAAGTGTTTACTTAGGGGGTGTTTACTTAGGGGGTGTTTGGAACTGCTTCAACTTCTGCTTCTTTTTTAAAAGTAGAAGTAGAATCAGAATCAATTTTTCAGAAGTTAGTCTCCTCCAACTTCTAAAAACTGCTTCTAGGAGTAATTTGAAGCACCCAGAAGCACTTCTGCACTTTCACCCAAACACTTTAATATTTGTTTGGAACAGAAGCAGATTTAAGAAGCAGATCCAAATACCTCCTTAATGTTATCTTCTAATCAATAGTCAGCATAGGATTCCAAACACCCCCTTAATGTTATCTTCTGATCCAAACACACTAATATTTGTTATCTTCTGATCCAAACACTCTGATATTTGTTTCTGCTCCCTGAATGAGCATAAACAGTTTTAAGAAGAAGATCCAAACACCCCCTTAATGTTATCTTCTGATCAATAGTTAGCATAGGATTCCCGTATTATTTATTAACCATTAAATTTGTTGTGATTAAAGTTCATCACTATATTTAACCACATATAAATTGAATACAGCTTTCTTTTGGGTCTCGTTCTCCTTGATTCTAAACAATCTCCTGTCTCCTATGACCTACATGTGTAGGACCAACAAGGTCTCACCCCCCTACAATTTCTTTACCTTCCCAAATTTACTTAACAAGCTAGTACTCCCTCCATCTCATTTACAAGTTTTTACAATCTCTCCCTTCCCCTCATAAAACTAAAAAGCCTCCTCACCCCCCATTCAAACAAATGTTGACCTAAACACAGTGTTATATAATGAAAGTATCATTTGCTACACTAAATCTGCCAATTTCATTAAGTGGTCAAAAGACAGTACAATAATCTTTCCACCAAAATGTCATGCGTGCAATAGCTATGGCATGACTAATGAAAGCTTTACAATGTTAGAAGTTCAGTCAATTTGAGATCAATAAAAATCACCTATATCCATCCACATTAGCACCATACTTGTCGACAAATTGGTAAACGCCCTTTCCCTGATAATGGATGACAACATTAATGAATGAGTACTTAAAAGAAGCGATTATGGAGATATAAAGCAATCAAATAGTTAATTTGTGCTTTACGGTAGGCTTCCTGCCGGATGCATCTACCCCATTCCTCAGTTTCATTCCTCCGCCAATTCCTATAAACAAAACCAACACATTATAGTTTATTGTCTCTCCTCAGTTTACTATTGAAAGAGAAAAAACACTCTAAAATTATTATTTCTGTAACACATGATAATCAGTTACAAATTGCAACCAAGTTCCTCTAAACATTGCAACTTTAATTGAATCATGGTAAATTCTCCAATAAAAGAACTCTTGGTATTATGATATCGGATGAACTAACCGAAGGGCTGGTCAACCTTGAGCTTCTTGCCGCCGCTGGCTACAACTATGAGAGATTTTCTGGAAGGAAGGGGAGGCAGCCCTCTAACTGCTGTTTTCTGTACTCCTAATCGAGAGGGCTGATTGAGGCTTAGTGAACTCACGGCTGTTGAAATTGCCATTTTATTTGATTCTCAGTGGATAATGGGATGAATCTCTTCTCTTTCTCTTCTCAAACACATACTTCCATGGGAGTTGGTTTTTTTATTAGCAGTCCATCACATGGAGATTTGGTGATTTCTATTCTGACACGTGGATAAAAACTTGTGGTGTAGTTATGGATATGATCACAGTTGGAGGCCGTTGGATATCGGTCCGATTCTGAACAGGACCACTGGAAAAATGGAAACTAATAATCCAACCTTTTAGCGGTTTTCTTACAATAGTCTCACATTTTTGTTATTCATGAATAATTAAACCTTTATACCCTGTTTTCATTCACCGGTCCCTGACCGGTCGATGACCTGTTATTCCAAGTTATTTTCTTATTTTTGCAAAATATTATGCTTGTGAAAGGTGAGATTTATGGTATAATGATTTGCAAAGATAAAAAAATAACTTGGAATAGCAGGTCATCAACCGGTCAGGGACCAGTGAATGAAGATGGAGTGCAAAAGTTGGATTATTCATGAATAACGAAAATGTGAGACTATTGTAAGAAGATCGCTAAAAGGTTGTATCATTAGTTTCCATTTACCCCTTTAGATATACTTTCTCTTTCCTCACATGTTTCGTTAAATGTCGACATTCTTGGCTGTGATTAGTTTGAACATGTGACATATTCCTTGAGATTTTCACAGTGATGTTATCGAATAGAGTTGGATTTGGATACATACTTTTTGGTGTACACACTTTTATACACTGTGTGTAGATTTTTTTTGTCTGTACAGACAAACCGTATTTTGACAGAATACTCTTGGTCTGGTTGACAACATACGTTTTGTATGTACAAACAAAAAAAAACTTACACAAACAACGTGTAAAAGTTTGTATGCCAAAAAGTGTGTACCAAGAATATTTTTCTATCGAATCTAAAGATGTTTGGCAACCAGACCAAGATTTAAAAACGTGAATCATCGGTCTAAAACTTTTTCATTTTGTGGACTAACTTTACATAAAAATTTGTGTGTGAACAACTCTGAAAACATGTAAACCAGTTTTTTACCCTATTAGGATATTTTTGTCTATTTAGAAATTTATTGGCTACTCCCTCCATTCTATAAAATTGTTCCTACTTTGACTTGATCAGTTTAAGAAAATAAAAATAAAATGGAAATATGTGCATGATTATGATTGAGTAAGAAAAATATAGGAAATGAATGATAGCCACACAAACCTTTTCAAAATTCTTGGTGTACACGTTCTTATACGCATCAATACACCTCCGTGTCTGTGAGGGTTTTTTTTTGTCTGTGAACTGGCATTCACAAACACGGAGGTGTACTGATGTATATAAGGTGTACAAAAGGAATTTTTCACAGACAAGAAGGCGTACAAAAGGAATTTTTCACAATTTTAAAAGTAAGAACTTTTTGCAGGACATAGTGAAAATAAAATTATTACTTTTTCTGACATTATGGAAAGAATTTTAAACAAAATATAATTTTTTTTATCACACTTGTAATTACAATTTTAATGATAGTTCGTATTAAAGTTATACGATATTATAACTGAATGCTATATTTATAAAAGTCTAGGAGGATGACATCTACCAAGAGTATGTTAGCAAATTATTGTGAGTTTTTTAATAACAAGTAGCTTTTAGGATGTCTTTAGCTGGATTGAAATATGTCCCAGATCATACCTGATCAGATCAGACCAAACTAGACCAGACCAGATTAGAACAGATCAGATCAGACCAGATTTGGATAGTTATAAAAATACAAAGAGACCAGACATTACCAGACCAGACCAACAAATTACAGTCCAAGCAAAAACATCCTTAATGAATGAAAAGATTGATAAAAGGTAGTTGTTTGATAAAAGGTTGATTGTTTGATTTAGTTCTATTGATATACAAGTTGTTGTGATTAATTAATGCTAAAAGCTACACATTTTTTTTCAAATGCTACTTAGCTTTGCTTCTCAAAAAAGAGGTTTTAATTTTGAAAAAAAAATATCAAAATTTGTCGTATCAAATACTACTTCCAAACCTAGTACCCGTCTTCCCTCTTTGTAAGGGTTGAGATTTTTCGCCGCCCCTATCAATATGGGGTCAGAGTGACATATTATATTGATTTTAAGTGTTATAATGCTTTGGATTGCAACTACGTCGGAGGAGATAACATTGACGGATGAACATGTTGTGGTTAGGAGTTTGTATCGGTGCTGGATCGTGCAGCCTTGGTCGGCCGCTCCGACGGTGGTTGAGTTGGTATTCACCCATTTTGCAAGAGCTTGTCCTCCGCTAGAACCACCTCCGTACCACGAAGAGTTTAGTAGAAAGAATTTATTTCAATATTATTTTCTCTTTAGTAGTACTTGTTTTTATTTCGGTCTGAGTAGGTTTGGTTTGGATGTTTGGATTTCTGGAGTTCTTTTGATAGACATGGTTTCAGTTCCAATCATTTTAGTCTTAAATTTGCTTGTTTCAGGTTTAGCAAGTCAGATTGCTTTGTATGAGGTGGCCGACTCTATGTCTACTCATAGAGCTCACGATTGGAATATTGGATCTGTAAAATCTGTTCCAAGGTTGTCTTGTATGTGTTCTCGATTTTATTATAAAAGCCGTTGACCCGTTGTTTTACGTTCAAAAAAAGATACTACTTCTGTTCCTTAACAATTTGTCATCTTTCTTTTTTTGGATGTCCCATTAACTTTGTTACAATCTTTTTAAAATAAAGAATTTGTTGTTCCAATTAATTATTTCTCCTCTCCACAAATTTCAACCATACAATTTTTACTTTATTAATCCATGTGCCAGTTAAACAAGGCAAAGCTTTAAGGGATGGGAAGAATATTGTATACTACATACGTCCCTTGAAACTTTGTCAACTTTCCCTTTTTTGATGTCGCACTAACTTTGTCACTTCTACTTTTAAGTAAAGAATTTGCGGTTTCAGTTAATTCTCACTCTTTTGCACAAACTTGAACTACACAATTTTTTATTTATTAATATCCGTGCCGGTCAAACTTAACAAAGTTTTAAGGAACGAAGGGAGTATATAACTACAAGTTTTTAGAGATTTTTAAAATGTAGAAAAGTAGAAGGTGGAATTGTAATTTGTGAGGTCGTTTGGCAACAATGTTTTTCGGCTTATCAGGCTTATAAACCAACTTTTTCACCACACGTAACTTTTGCTTCCGCGCGCTGCATTGTGTAATAAGCAGAAAAAGTAAGGTTGGAGTTACTTTTCTGGCTGTATTGGCTGAAGTTATTGTAGATGACCATTTTAGTTATTTTTACATATAATTTTTTCTTTATTTTATTAATAAAATATATTTTTTTTTTAAATCGGCAGAATCAGCCAATGCAGTCACTTCAGCTAGAACTTTATAAATTTCAGCAAAATCAACCATAAAAACCGATTTACATGCTACCAAACGAGCTCTGTAAGTACCAACTACCAAGCCCCAAGCGTGTACCGAGATAAAAAATGTTTGGTGTACACATTTTGGTGTACACATTTTGATGTAAACATTTCGTACATTCGTCTGTCTCACGCACACAAAATTGTCTATCCACATTTGCAAACGTGTATGAGATCATACACAAACAATTTTGTAGACCTAGCACATCCCGTACCCGGATAGGGAAGCGCGGGTCTTGTTCTGAAACGAGTTCAGTACGGAACGGACAGGTCCAGTGCTCTGTTTTTCTATCGAACCGGAAGCTTGGCCTGCACATAGTCCAACGAGATGGGACGCCGTCATCTGAAAACCGATCAACGGTCAGATCCCAACTAGTTGGTTATGCTTTCATACTTGGTAGATGATATTCATGAGATCAAAACGCACTGGCCATATATATCATCTCTGATTTCCTTAGCTCTATTTTCCCGGACTAAGAATTAGAGGTATTTGCAGGCTTTTCTAATTATTTTCCCTTTTATGCCATTTTCGATTAGATTTCTGTAGTAGATTCGGTTAAATTACGCAACTTCTAGTTACTTGTACACTTAGATATGTTTATTTAGCAATTACGGAGTATTTAATCTATCGATTGTATTTTCCAGCGATTTATGAGCCCTTATTTCGAGCTTTGAGTTAAGATAGTGTGCTTTGGATCGCCTAATTTACACTCTAATGCTGCTTTAGCTACCGTCGTGGATTTTATCTTATACTCGCTCGCCATCGTCTTTGTTTATGGATGAATAGATAGAAACTTTTGCAGATGTTTATGCTTCTTATCGGACAAATATGTACTTGACCTTGAGTATAGGGATGTCCTGAAGCGATTGAATTCCTTGAACTTGTAGATGCGCTATTGATTTTGTGTTTCTAATATACAGCAAATCCTTGTATCTAGGATTCTAGGGGTGTATCCAAGGGGCAACTGCCCCTCAACCCCACCCAACCCTTATATATAATACTCCGTATAAAATACAGTATATAATAATGTATAAGTGTGTTTATGCCTCTATGGTTTATATTAATATGCTAATGAAGTTAGTGTTTCTATAATTTGCGGTACTGTAATGGAACTTGTTCCATGTTTTTTTTCCCAAATGGACGAGAGTTCGAATCCCTCCTAATAACTTTGGAGTTTTAATTTTCCTAGCCTCTTTAAAGCCTTTAATCCAGTTTCTTAATTTCCTCCCTATTTCAAGGATTCAGTTTTAAATGATCAATAACTCTAATTTAACAAATAATATAAATTGATCTTTTTGTACATACCTACATTTGCAACTTAAATTAGTTATAGTTACATAATTCACCTGCCCTTATATTATTCTTATTTATGGACATATTTTTAATAATTTAAAATTTACCTCACTAATATATGGTTCTAAAGAGTCAAAATTATATCAATCAAGAAATATATGATGACCAGTCCATAGTCTTCCTGGTGGCTACATCATTCATCTTGAATACCACCTCTATGGTTCACCTAGATATCAGGAATTTGGTTTCTATGTTTTTACACAATTGGTTGTTCAGAAATTTATTTGGAGCACTGAACTATTACAAAGTAAATCTGAGGAACTGACTTTTTATTGCAGAAGAAATTATGGCTTTCTTAGCAACGGCTGAAGTTTGTGATTCTAATATAGCTTATCTTGCGAGTGGTGAGTTGCGGGTACTACATCCTGTTTTTCAGATATATGGGCAATGCCGTGCATTTTCTGGCCCCATTGTTACTCTTAAGGTGTTTGAGGACAATGTGTTAGTGCGGGAGATTCTTGAAACCAGAGGTGAAGGCAGAGTCTTGGTGATAGATGGTGGTGGAAGCTTGAGATGTGCCTTGGTAGGAGGTAACTTGGTGCAGCTAGCTCAGAATATGGGTTGGTCTGGCATTGTAGTCAACGGTTGCATAAGAGATGTAGATGAGATCAATGGGTGTGACATTGGGGTCCGCGCATTGGCATCAAACCCTCTGAAACCCAACAAGAAGGGCATTGGTGAGAAATATGTACCTGTTTATGTTTCTGGAACCTTAGTTCGTGATGGGGAATGGTTGTATGCTGACAGTGATGGGATTCTCATCTCTAAAACTGAGCTCTTCATCTGATTGAGGTGGCATAACCATGCTTTCATTGGCCCATCTCACCTTATGCCATTTAACTCAGATTGTGTTGAAGTTCTTGCAATGCTTTCATTGAACTATTATTCTTTGATCATCTGCATAGACTTTGGTTTTCGTCCTTTTTTCTTCGGTGCATAAGGAGTATACAACATTGCTGCCTGCCTGTTTACGCGTGCCATTGGCACCTCAGAGTAGTTTTATTCTCCTACACGGATTTGTTGAAAATTCGTATGAATGCACAACCTACTTGACTGCAGTGGCGGATCCAGAAAAAATATTTTCTTGGGGGCAGAGTAATTAAGAATACAACTTATGTGCCTTTTATGTCTTGTTTCGATTTGACATATTATTAATAAAATGCATGAGAAATTAAAATTTATGATATCGGTTTGAGTATGATAAAGTGAAATATTGTGGATCCCATATTTATTTCCCAACAAGAAAATATGACACTTATTTTGTGGTAACTTAAATTGAAAAGTAAGATATGTAAAATGAGACAGAGAGAATACTGTGTAAAAGTGGTAGAACAAAAGAATAAAAATTAGTAAAGTATAATTGTGTTGTTACAATGACATAAATTTGGACATAATTACATAAATGACCAAAATAAAGATTATTTACGAAAATATAACTAGTGACTAGAGTAGTAATAAAATCATAGTAATTCATGTTCAAGTTTTAAGCTTAAGTTACCACACCACCACATTATAGTAATGAATAGTCATATTTATGCAAAAATGTTTTATTTTAGTAATATTCTTGTAAAAAAACTCAAAATATATCACAATTGTTTGCATCGAGTTTTCATCAAGAATTGAATTGACATCCATTATAGTTATAATATTATGTTTAACTATCTACAATAACATATTATTTACAATTAAAAAATTATTTATTAAATGACATTTTCTAATAGATGTAAAAACCAGACTCTAATAGATTTTTTTTAGAAGAACCAGACTCTAGTAGATGGATAACTATTTCAATAAGAATGTTTTTACTTAAACTATTTTTCAGTTCTTGACCATACTAGACTTAAATGGACTTTCATACCTATAAAATGTACAAATCTCAAATATTTATCAGACCAGTTCAGACTAAACCAGACCAGACTTAAACGGATCAACAAATTTATGGATGTACTCCAATACCCATAAAATAAATTAATAGCATTATAATAAATTTAATAACAGTATCTATTATTCATATTTAAAAAGTAACATAAATACATAATGGCTTTGGAGTTTTTAATTATTTATATAAAAAGTAACATACACTGAAACACGTTAAAAAAAAGTAACATAACGACCTACGGAGTAAGAGTTTTAACAACCAAAGGGACAAACGCATACAAGACTAATCCAACGATCAATGACTCATCAAAGCACCTAGGTTTTCTTTCCTACTCAGCCGTCAAGTGTGTCTTCCGGATTGGGTTTAAATTTAAATTTTACAACAGTGGGCCTTCGGAGTGGACGGACAGGACTTATTGGGGGCAACCAATTTTTTTTATTGGGGGCAATCGGTTGTTTATTAAGGGTAAATACCTAAACTTTATCATTTACTAAGGGTTTAATAGGATTTTATTGGGGGCAGCTGCCCCCATAACGTTGTAACCCCATAATGTTGTAAGTAGATCCGCCCCTACTTGGCTGTATCTTTCTTCTACTTGGCTTGGTCTGTATTCCTCACTCTAGCACCTCATAGTAGTTTTACGTATCTCAATTTTTCTTTTTTCTTGGAGTTTGCACCTCATTTTCAGGAAAAAAAAGTAACAACAAGCTTTAACAAACTCTTACTAGAGTTGTTGAAATGCTTTCAAAGGCAAAACATGACCAACCATATACCTGATTTTCAAGCTTCATCCATGAAATGTTCATCCTTTTTTGTAAGGAAATATATTAATTGACATTAATCAAATCAAGGACAAAAGGTCACAGATACAATTTGGGGGAGTACCCATCCAAATACGACAACCAGACATAGAACTAGCTACTCTAGCTAACTCATGAGCAACTTTGTACGCTGATCGTCTAATAGAATTAAAGGTGATGTTAGAGAACCTTTTGCAAATATCCCGAACGTCTTCTCCCAGAACACCTACCGAAGAGAGGCTGAAACCGTTGTGAATTTCCGAGATAGCCTGTAATGCATCCGATTCAACCTCCACAAAGTCCCATCCTTGATCTTTTAACCAACTGAGAGCTTCTCGAATGCCTAATAATTCGGCTTCTAAAGGAGAGCATTTTCCCCAACCCGTTTTAGCACCACCCGCAATAAATTCCCCAAGCTCGTTCCGAACAACCCAGCCAAACCCGCTGCCTCCACTGCCCCTTGCAGCATCCACATTAAGCTTCCTCCATCCTGGAGTCGGAGGATGCCAAAGTTGAGGCCGAATGATGCCTCATCCTGCTGCCAGTTTACCCTTTTGTTGTACTTGGAGCCAGACTTCAACAAAGCTCCTGGAATTTAGCATGACAGTAATAGGTCTCAGCCTCTTCCCTTGCCAAACACGAGCATTCCTTTCTCCCCATAGCCCCCAACAGCCCCATGCAATCATTTGCAATTCCGGCTCCTTCTTGGACTTAAAAACAGATTGCAGCCACCCCATAAAAGAGTTCTCAGAATGGAGAATATTTGACCAGCCAACTGAAGTCCAACCTTCCTTGGCAAACGGACACCGGACAAACACATGCAGCAGCGATTCTTCGCCGTCGCCGCACAAGCCACAAACTTCTAGACACTCCACCTTCCTACGCTGCAAATTCGACGTTGTTGGCAGGTAACCACTACACAGTTGCCAGAAAAATAATTTTATTTTCGGTGGTAAACTCCAGCTCCACATCTCCATCCAGCCTACCCATTCATTTGACTGGAACTTCCCAGATAATCTCCTATAACAACTCCGAACGATGAATCTGCCTCCCACCTCCCACTGCCAAATCCTCCTGTCAGAGACCTCACGAATACTAAGAGGGATGCTTTTGATCAAAGCCCTATCCCTATCATTAAACAAATCCATTAGCACATCATCATCCCAAGCATGTTCCTGCCTGGATATTTACTATTCCAATTCTGCAGACGATTAACCACCTTTTGCTTCAAATAGTTAAGGATCTCCTTTTTCCCTTTCCATATCAAAGCTGGTAAACCCAAATATTTCTCCTGGGATCCCGCCATACCAACCCCCAGCATTTTGGCTAGACCATCTTTATAACCAACCGGGACATTAGAGCTAAAAAATAATTTGGATTTATTAAAATTAATAACCTGTCCCGCCGCCGCCTCGTAATCTTGTAGTGTCTTCTTAATAACCGATGCCTCATCATATCATGGCTAGCCTGGAAAAAAAGTAAACTGTCATCCGCGAACAATAAATGAGAAATCCTCGGGGCTCCTCTTGCTACAGATACACCATGGACTCGCCCAATTAACTCCTGTCTACGAAGAAGGGCACTCAATCCCTCAACAACTAGGATAAAAAGATAAGGAGAAAGTGGGTCTCTTTGACGCAAGCCCCTCGTAGGGACAATCGGCCCGATCTCTTGATTGTCAAAAGGGATTGCATACGTGACAGAACGGACACACTCCATTACTAGCTGAATCCACCTCTCTGCAAAGCCCATATGGCGTAACATTCCTTCCACAAATGACCATTCCACCCGATCATATACTTTACTCATGTCTAATTTAAGTGCAACATACCCCACTTTTCCTTGCCGCTTCCGTTTCAAGTAGTGCTGGGACTCAATCTATCATAATATTATCAATAATAGACCGACCAGGTATAAAGGCACTATGTTGTTTAGAAACACAACTATTTAGCAAGCCTTTCATTCTATTAGCTAATAATTTGGCAAAAATCTTGTACACTACATTACACAAAGCAATAGGTCTCCAATCATTTAAAGTTTCTGGGTTATCTTTCTTAGGAATTAGAATAATATGGGTATGATTAATGCCATCAGGGAACCTGCCCGAAAGAAACACTGTCCTGCAGAAGTCCACTATGTCTGGCCCTACATAGTCCCAGAAATGCTGAAAGAACCCCGGGCTCATGCCATCCGGTTCCGGGGACTTGTCTGGGTACATAGAAAATAGAGCATCCTTCACCTCATATCCACGAATAGGACGTAACAAATCCTCATTTTGTTGGTCGTTCAATCTGCGTTCTACACAGCCGAAAACAAACTCACCATTACCCTGTATAGAGGAAAAAATATTAGAATAATAATCGTCTATTATTTTGGCCATCTCTCCTCGATCATGCTCCTAGGTCCCTCCAGCAAGCTTCAAACCTTCCATCTTATTTTTTTTCTTCCGTTGTTTAACGACGTTATGGAAAAAGCGAGTATTGCTATCCCCTCTCTAAACCAAAATTCCTTGGCTCACTGACGCCAAAAAGAATTTTCCTTTTCCAACAGATGAAGATGCTTCTGACTCTGCCAAAATCCGCTGCTCCCCAAGCATCCGTCTGTCCACGAAGATAATTAAGCCTCCGTCTACAAAAAAGGATGCGTTTATGGTACGTTCCAAACCTGCCCTTACCCCAAGCTTCCACCGCCGTTGCACAGGCCGCAATCTGACTCGTAACTCCACCTTCTCGCCTAGCATTTCAACCTCGGGTAACAACATCTCTGCAATCCTCCTCCTTAAGCCATATATTCTCAAATTTAAACCTTCTGCGCCTATTAACTCCTCTCGTATGGGAAAGATGAATAAAAAGGACTAAATGGTCACTTGGAGCGCCTTTAATAGACTCTGCCGCTGCGTCACTAAACCGCTGCACCCATCTGCCGAAGCTAAAATTCTGTCCAGTTTCTCTTCCACCCAATTCAGAGTACCACGCCATCTTTCCCAGGTGAATTGATACCCCTCAAATGAGACATTGTGAAGCCCACTATCCCATATAGCCTCCCGAAACCCCCTTAATAACCATGGAGGGTGGGGAACCCTTCCTTTCTTTTCAGAGGCAAATAGCTTAGGATGTCACTGAAATCCCCCATGACCAGCTAGGGTAATTGTGATCGGGAGCTAAGAGTTTTAAGTAAATCCCAAGATTCCTGCCTCCGATGTCTTTCCGGACACCCATAAAACCCCGTGAAACGCCATAGAGGTTCATCCTCCTCTAGGCTTACCCATGCATCAATAAAATTTGGAGAAGAATCCTGGACAAGGACTTGCACACCATCGCCCCAAAGGAGAGCCAGCCCTCCCCGATGACCTACACTATCCACCGTAAAACACGAGTGCATTCCAGTCTTCCTCCGAACTAACTCCACCTTTGAACTATTAGAGAAAGTCTCCATCAAAAACACCAACTTAGACCGCTTAGAGTGGATCATATCCACCAAACCTCAATTGATCACTCTCAAAGCTAAAATCGCAGAAAAATAAAAAAGCTTTGGCATGAATGCTAAAGCTTAAAATTT